AGTTCATCCAAGATTCCATTTGAGGCTGGCTTAAAAGTGAGTAAGTCCCCATATACTCCCATGTTGAAAAGGTCCAACAGTTCATGAACATAGCTAACCAGTGTTAGCTGATTATTTAGCATAATTTAGTCATTTCTGTCCTCAAAATACTAAAACCGATGCTTTGAAACTGGCAACCAGAGGGGATGTCACAGCGGCTACATCCATATTTTATTACAGTCTGTGCTTGTTTGTTTTTTAGTGGCTTTTAAACATCTGTTACTTGTAGCAGATGACCCAGTACAGATGTTACAGTCTAGTTTTATACTTCCAGTCATTGGCCACTTGTTTTGTCCACAGGCCAAACTGAAGGATCTTTAAACATTACAGCTTTCACCAGACTAGCATGCCTCAGCTAACAATTACAGCTTCACAAGGATATCATCAGATGGAACAACGATATGATGCTGTGGATGTTTACATCGCAGTTTCCATCTTGATTTCAGGCTCGCTCCTCCCTTACCATCCAGTAAACCTGGCTCACAGTGAATGTAGAAACGTGTCTAACTTGAAGCTTGAGGTGTCTGTGATGTGTTATTTGCAGTGGACCTTCAGTGGCCTCTCAAATTAGAGGATTGAATTGGTGTGATGAGACCTTGCGCCCTGTGTTGCCTATTAGGGTTTAAAATATTCTCGCTGATCTGCCTTGACTGTGGACCCATCCTGCTGTGATCCAATAAACCCACTTTCTTACCAACTGACATTACGCTGGTTTCCATGACGATGTGTCAGTTTTAAGATTAGTTTACGTCAGATTTGCTTATTTTAAAAGCCATCATGCCTCTGGAGGATTAGAATAATCAACACGGCACATGATTCAATGCAGTGCACACAGATGAAGAGAGCAGGATATAGATTCTGTTCAGCACATGAGAAGCAGAAAACATGCGAGGGGTTTCCTCTGATGTGAAGTTTAATCCTAATCTTAAATGTAAACTTCACAGATGTTTTACGAAATGTTTTATAGTCTTTCAACTCGTCGTTCTGATTTTTGTTCAGACCCATCAGCAACCTTTTTTCCAAGCACTCAGGAGGCTGACTTCCTGCTCTTTACAGCCTGTGGAAACAGACAGCAGACACACAGTGCGGAAGTAAATAGTGAGCACAGGGAAGGGCAGGTGTAATACCTGTTCCAGGTGGCTGGAAACACAAACTTAACACAACTTTTGTCATAATATTTTGCTGTACCTTCATATTTTTAGGGAGTTTGATAGCACCCCATCTAACATATTTTTTGGCTGCTCTTTGTAACTAAACTGTTCAGTAACATCAGGCTGTCATCATCCTTAATTTGAACTTTATGTACACCCATAAGTCAGTGCTTTCTGGCTGAATTAAGGGTGATGGGGACAGTTTTTGAATTTAAGCTTTCTTACTATTTGTTTAAGCAAAAACAGCCCAGTGTATGTTTCTGTTACCCACCCATGTGAGGAGGAATAGCTTATAACTTCTTTTAAGCAGGTGTGGTTTACCCGTCTGTGTTATGAAAGTTACTTAATCTAAAGTAAGAAAGGTTAGAAGGTGAAACTGTTCATTAATGTTTATGCATAAAGCCGAACTAAAGACCTAAAGACCTTTTTGACCTGACTTTTATTTGAATTAACATTAATTCTGCTCACACTTTTTACCTTTTTTAAAATTACTTATTGTACTTTTTTTAATCCTCTCAATTATTGTTCTTTTTTAAATCTGGTTTTATTTATTTTTTTATTTGTGTGTGTGTGTGTGTTCCTGTCTAGCTATCTTTGTGAGGCCCGAAATCTGCATTCTATTATACTTGTGAGAACCAACAGTCACTTGTGAGGACACACACACAGGTCCTCACAAATTTGAAGGCCTTTTTGAGGCTCAAAATGTGGTTTTGGTGTCAGGGTTACAATTAGGTTATGATTAGGTATAGGGT